AATACAACCACATCCTAAGGCTCCACAGTCCAAATAGTTCTCTACCACCCTGAGGAAGTCAGGAGTCAGCATCCCATCCCTTACAGGAAGAGTTACTTCTGTTAAGCATGACCCCTTAAAATGTAACTCGCTCCCCCACTGGCTTCTAACTTAATCAGCTTTACCTGAACAATTAATCTTATTGGTTGACTATAGTTCTGTCCCACCTTATGACCACCTTGCGAGTTTCCATAGTTCCCCACAGTGGACCCATGTAACCTCATGATTTTACTCTATAAATTTCCCTAGAAAAAACAGAGTCTTTGGCAGCCCACTTGGGACCCCTTCTGTCTCTCTCCCAGCTTTCTTTCTCTTATAAATATATTCTGCTTTTAACCTCTGTTGTTTCTAAAATCCATTCTTTGATTTTAGAGAACATGAACTCATACTGGACATATAGTAGGTTGGGAGTTTCATTTCCCTATATCAATTGTACTAACTTACATTCCCATCAACCATGTGAAAGGGTTCCTTTTCCCCTGCAGCCTATAGAATGAATCTATAGATCAACTTTGGAGAAGAGGGTCATCTCTATAATCCTTTAATTTGCAATCTGCAAGCATTACATTTTCTTCCATTTACACATTCCTTAATTTCTTTCATGAATGACATAGCATTGGTAAGGACATGGATGGATACACTCTTATTTACTGCTGATGGAAATATAAAATTGATATGACCACTTTGGAAAGTTCTTTGGCATCATCTTTCAAAGCTAAAAATTAACTCAGTAATTTTATTCTTTTATACTTCCCAAAGGAAATGCAAGCACGTGTACACCAACAAAAGAAACAATGTCCATAGCAGCAATTTGAATGTCCATCAATAGGAATATAAATTCAAAAATTGTGATATAGTTATACAGTGCAACAATATATGGCAATGAAAAGGAAAATCTGCTCAATATAGTTGAATCTCACTAATGCTTTGGAATAAAACAAGCCAGATGCCTTTAAAGAAATGTTTACTAAATAATTCCATTAATATAAAAATAAATTTGTGGTGTGTAAGGATAGTGGTTACCCTCTGGGTTTTACAAACTGAAAGACATTATAACCAGGATGTCTATAATGCTGTTTAAGTGGTACAGATTCTAAATGTATATTAATTTTAATAAAATTAATTAATTAAACAAAACAAGAAAATAGAATAACCTGAGGGGAGTCAGGGCTGTCAGTGAGAGGGTGAGGAACCCTTGTCGTAGACTCAGGAGGAAAAGCAGCCAATGAAAAATTCATAGTGTTTTGGAAGAGAGTATTTAATGCTCCTTGCTAAGTTGATTGCTGTGTTGCAGTTTTCTCTAATCTCTTAATGACCCCATCCTCAACCCAATTTTATTGCTCTAAAACCATTAGTAAAGTTTACAACATCATTTGAAAAGAAGCAAAGCAAGGGTAGGAAACAGGGATGGACTTTGGTGAACGTAGGGAATGTCACCAGAGGACAGGAACACGGAGGATTGCCTCTGAAGAGCTGGCACTGGATAGAGGCAGAAGTGAAGAAAAGAAGTTCATTGCTGAGTTTGTAGTTAAATGTGATGATGGAAGGTGAAACCAGGTCGGAGGAGGGGTCACTGGAGGCTTGGCCTGGAAGGGCCTGTCTGTCTCCCTCCTTTGATTTCCCCCATGTGTGCAGACTGAGAGGAAAAAAGGAAAAGACCACAAAGCAGGATGTGCTGAGTGTATGTGAATATTAGCAAAGAAATCAGCAGGTATTGTACCTAAAAAGGTTCCAGGAGTTGAGGTCAGGGAGTGGCTGGTCAGGGAATAGCTGGGCACACCTGGTGTTGGGCTATATGAGCTGTGGATTTACAGGATCTATCGTGTGAACTAGGAAGTCATTATAAATGCAGCATCTTGAGCCAAGAAATGATCTAATGCAAGAGAACAGCCAAGGCAGAGATGATGCTGGTGTGGACAGGACTGGTAGTGGTAGAGGTGAAGGAAAGAGGTTAATTCAACGGGACTTGAAGGTGGGTTTCGGGATTCATGTAGCAGAATTAAGGGCCGCATTGCTGGGTGTATCTGGGTGTGTCATAAGGTATGGCCTAGGTTTCTGACCCACTTCTGCTTAGGTGAGGCTCCCTTGTGCTGCTTCCTGGCTGCCAAAACTAAGCATTTCTGCTCCTCCACACCTTTCTGCCCTGATGTTTCTGACTTGCAGCCAGCCAACAATGGACTAAATCTTTTGAAACCATGAGCCGTACTGAACCTCTCCTACTTTAAATTGTAGTTGTTGGCTATTGTATCCTAGTGACCGGAAAGCTGAATAGTACAGATGCCACATGAAAGAACTTTCTAACCAAAAGAGCTGCCTGAAAATTGAATGCTTCTTTTTTATGCAGTTAATTCCAGCAAAAGCAGTAAGTCCTGTGGAGCTACAAGAGTATCATCTCTCTGATTTACCTGCCAAATAAGCAACTACAAGATTATGGTTTATACCTAAATATCCCCCCAAAACTTCATGTACTCATGGGGGAACTTTGGGAAGGTGATTGAATCATGGGGGCATTATATTCATCAGTGAATAAGTCCTGGAATTATTTAATTTCTTCTCTCCTCCCTTGTTCTCTCTGATTTCTGCCACCAAGCCATGAACTGTTTCTCCTCTGACATGCCCTTCTGCCATATCACCCTGCCTTGGAGCCAGCTGACTGTGGGCTGAAACCTCTACAAACTGTGATCCAAAATAAAGTCCTCCTGTAATTTGTGGATGTCACATATCATATCCCAGAGAGAAGAAATAGAGCGACTTTTGTTTTTAGTAGTCAAGGGTTGTGTATGTCTAGGAAAAACCAAGGATCTTTTTTTCCCTTTGGTTGCACATCACAATCAACATAGAAAACTGCTCTAACCCTAAAAGACCCTAAAAGATATGGGGATTTCTCTTCACCAGCAAACAAGCAGGTTTGCAGCCGCCATTAGCTGGGTGATCCCTAATTCATTCTGATACTCTCCACCTAGAGATAATTTCAGACCTCACAAGTTGAGGACTCAGTCCCCAAGAACGTCAATTGCAAGCACCATGTTGAATCTTTTAGTAACCTGTTAAAGCATACAAGTGTCACAATGGTATGGACATCACTCAAAGATTGCTGGGAGCTCTCCTTTGGGACTTGTTCTTAATGGGTGGTAATGCAATTTATCCCAAAATCTGTCTTTCCAGAGGTCAGGTCCCTGAGAAGCTCTGCTGTCATCAGATTCTTCTGGTCAACTGGAACTTTAAAGCTGCTTGGTCATAACATTAAGTTCCTATGGCATTATTTCTAAGCAGCAGGCACCAATTCTCTGCTTGAAGCCTGGAGGGACTTCCCCTTCTTTGGCAATTTCCTGGACAGCCTAGGTTGTTAGAAAGTTCCCATCCATCCCATTCATCGCCCCTTCAATACCTTAGTCTTACTGGAACATGGGGCAGTACTCCCCAAATTTCAAACAGCACTGATCCTACCAGCTGTCTTACATCTTTTTTTCTTCAATTATCTATTTCTACTACTTAGGTAAATTCACCTCAAATGGAAGCTTCATCACCTCATTAGTGAGTGACAAAGCTGTATCAACTAGAAATTAACAGTATAAGGGATAATAGGAGACGGAAGGGAATGGGAGGATATTAAATTCTACTTAGGAGCTGTTGCCTAGCAAAGACTCTGAGGCGAGGCAAGCTCACTGTTAAAACCGGAGATTAGCAGAGGTTAGAGAAGTGGAGGGACAAATACCAAAAAAATTATACTTCTTCCTTGACATAATCCATGAGAGCAAGCGAACTGAAAAGGGCATGTTTTTTTTTTCCACCTTGAAATCTGCTTTTACTGTCGCTGTCCGCCTGCCACCCAAAACCATCTCCCAAGGAAGATGTTCACACTGTGTGCCACACACTGACATCATGCCTAGGTGTGAGATGGCCACTGAAGGTTATCAGAATGCCTCACCATTTAGCCTTTGGGACTGATGAAGGTGTGCTTGGCATCAACTAAGCCCTCTAAGGTATTTTGATAATTGCTGCTATCAAGCTAAATCACTCACTGGGCACTTGTATTGTTGGGTATTTGGACCCCAGAAAGACTGGCATTTATTCTTCTTAGCCAGATTGTCCCCTGTGCCCTAGCCCGTGGCCTGAGTATGTGCTCATCTTCCTCCCCTACTTTGCATGTGAGAGGAAGGAAGCCATCTGGGCAGACCTGGGCCATGATGAGGATGCATTTGACACTGACTGTGAGCTTAGGTTCCTGTGAAGAAAGGAAATGGAAACTTTCTGCCTGAGAATTCACTGTGCATCAGGCATTTGTCTTAAATATCTCATTTAAGTCATCAAGGACTCCATAGAATGAACAGGTGTTTGTCCACAAGTTTACAGAGAAAAATCTGCATTTTCACTTGAAGTTTTTAACCACGATTACTATGCAATTTTCCACTTGTTCGAATTTTGTTTCTCATTATTATTTTGTAAATACTTTGTTATGTTCTTATTCTCTTCTCCCCTCCTTCCCCTTATAAATAAATATCTCCTCACTCTAAAAAGAATTTGAGGCACTTTTGTCTCAAAGGGTTACAGAGTACACTATTAAGTCATTCCATCATAATTTATTTAATCAATTTCCTACTTGTGACAGTTTGGCTTGGTTTGCTTTTCGTGATTTTTAATGTTAGTATTCTATGTCATATATAATCTTGCCCATACATCTGTGCCTGAGCATTATTTTGTTCTGGAAATAACTTCAAGCACGGAATCTGGAGGGGGATATTTGAGGGGTAGGCTAGCACATCTTCATGGGGACTAGCAAATATCCTACCTAAAGGAACAAACAGGCTTTGAATGAGAAAAGGCAAACACAGAGTTTCTGCCAAAGAAATTCCATTTCCCATTTCTTGAGTGAATATAAACACCCGATGGGTGGTGGGCGCTGGGCCAGGTCCCGGGATGACACTGGCCCTGGGGAGCGCGTGCGGGTAGGGTCGAGGCCGCGAGGCTGGAGGCTCCGCCGGGCCCGCGGCCAGCAAGAGACGCGCAGGCACCCGCGGCTGCGGAGCGGCAGAGGAGCTGAGCGTGAGCGGCCGTGCAAGCAACGCGCGCGGTCTCGCAGAGCACGAGCTGTGGCCCGAGGCTGCACGCCTTACACCGCGACTCTCCGGCCTCGTACTGGGGCGCAGGTGTCCCAGCCGTGGCGCGGCGGTGGGCGGTGGCCTGGTGGGCCCCCGGCGCCCTAAGCCTCGCTCCCTCTCCAGGGAGGAGGCGGGAAGCAGTGGCGCCGGCTGCGGGAAGAGGGTCTGCGGATCTGCTCACTCGATGCCCGGGAAGCCTGGAGCCGCGCCCCGGACCGACGGCAGCGCCGCACCCGACGGGGGCCCGGGGGCTGAAGCAGCGCCCAGCGCGCCCGCCCGGCCAGAGGCGCCCGCCCGGCTGCAGCGCCTCGGAAGCCGGTGAGCGAGCCGCGCCGGGGGGCGGCGGGGGCGGAGCTCGGGGCGCCGGGCGCGGGGCTGCGGCGGCCGGCCGGCTGGGGGCGGGCGCCGGGAGCGCCAGGTAGGACGCGGCGCGGCCGTCCGGAGCTCAGCCCGGGACCGCGCTCGGGGACGCCGCGGACGGAGCTGCCCCCGTGCGGGGGAGCCGGACAGGGCCAGGTAGGACCGAGGGCGCGGGCGATGGCGGGAAGCGGCCCCGCCATCGGGTGGGTGGGCCCCGGCGGGGGCCGGGCGGGGGGCTCAGTCCCGGGCGCCCGGGTGCAAGGCGAGGAGCCGGGGAAGCCGGGGCTCCCTCCGGGGGGCGGCGGGGAGCTCGCCCGCGCGTGCCAACGGAGGTGCGCGCTAGTGCGCGTCGGTGCGCTGGGTCCTGCGCCTCCGCCTTATTTTGAACCGCTTTTCTGTGTGTGGACCAGGGGATGAGCAGCTCTCTAAAAGGTAGAGCGGGATACGAAAGGGCGATCACAGCGTCAGCGCCCAGCGTCCAGGTCATAAGTCCTCCCGCAGGGCTCCTGGTCCAGGCCGCCTTTGAATCTGTGCCTCAGTGGCAACAAATCTGGGTGTTGGTCCCCGGGCCTGGTCATCAGCCTGCTTGAGGAGAGGGAAAAAGAAAAAATACAGCGCCAGGTTAACGGGTTATATTATAGTTTTCAACTGCTATGATTTAAAAAACCAATACAAGTCTTTGCCGTCTGGAGATTGCAATTTGCATCTATTTATTGCCCCCTTTCTTTCCCCATCTACACGTCCCTTCTCTGCGCCTTCCCTTCTGATTCTCTATCCACCTCCTGCATACTGAAACTACCAGAAGCAACTGATGCCACCACCACGAACCCCCTCCCTTATCTTCAGTGTGCCTCCTCGCAACACCTCTGCTGTCCCCGTGTCTTCGGGTGGGAGCCTACTAATGACATGTGTCCCATTTGCTTGTCTTCAGTCTCCCAGCGAAAGGCACTCTGGAAAAGAGTCCCTGACAGGTTCAGTGCCTAGCTGTTCTTAAACTGGACTTTCCAAGGTCTGGCATTGAGGGCAATTAATAAAGGATATTACCTGAAATGCTCCAAATGTCCTATTCTCCTAGTCTCATGGTGGGGGGGGGATGGTGCCAGCATTCATTTAATTTTATGTGAACATATCATTTGAGGCTGAAGCAAATCTGACTGGTTTTCAGTATGCAAATCCAATATAAAAACTGCCCTTGGAGTTATTTCCCAGAAAAACTTGTCTCTGATCCTAATGTAACAAAACTGATGATTAGGAAGAAGTTTAGAACAAGTTGTCTCAAGATAAACACGGCTCATAAGCTGTATCGGGGTAGTTCTAAAGCAAGCGAGAATTAAGCAGCACTTTCCCTGCCACTTACACAGATTTCTATCGCCTTTCTGGTCCCAGCCCGGGCTCCTCAGGGCCATGGCTCCGGTTTTCACTCTGCAGGGCTCTGGGCTTGAGAGAGGCTCTCTAGGGGACTGAGGGACATAACTAAGCAGACAGGTGGGAGAGGACCATGCAGAAGAGGGAATTGGAGGGAACGGTAGCATAGTGAGGAGGAGCAGGCAAAGACTCTTCACTGGAGAAAAATTCTGGAGCAGGTCCCCATCACTGAAGCACAGCCTTGGGATAATTTTGCTAAGAGACCACGTATGTGCTTGCTGCATGTAGTAATCAACACAATCTGCTCTTTCCAGGCATCTTTCCCCAGACCAAAAACTCTTAAGTAAAACAATAAAATAAAAATAAAATAATCAAGCCATCCATATTTGTATGGTACAACAGACTGGTTAGAATTATTAATATTTTTACCAAACTATCAGTCAGGGTGGTTGGTTGTTTTTTAGGAGCTGTGTAACCTATATTTTAAAAACCTCATAACATTCTTCTTTATTTTGTGCATTTTTCTATGCATTTGTGCATTTTCTACTCAACCACCTTGAGTTGAGTGCCAGACATTCTTCTTTAAAGACTTTGTGAGTGGGACAGGGAGGAGAGAATTAGAAAATAAAAATTGGTCTTTGTGATAAGCTAGGGCAGAGATGGCAAACCTTTTTTTTTTTTTTTGTCTTTTTCCTTTTTATCGGTACCGAGGATCGAACTCACGACTGCCTGCTTGCAAGGCAGGTGCTTATGCTGCTGAGCTAAATCCCCAGCCCCAAGATGGCAAATCTTTTAGACAAGTGCCCAAACTGCAGCCCAGCACACACTTATTTATGACCAAGTGCAACGCTGCAAATAAACTTGGACAGTGAGATTTTAGTTCAGGACAAACAATTTATACATTAACATCCTGTATTTTGAAAAAAATAAAAACCAATAACAGCTTTCAGTGAAACCAACAGCTTTTTATTGAGAAGTAAAAGTTTGCATTTGGTGTGCTTTTGTGTGTGCTGTTATCGATGCCCAGCTGCTGGGTGATGCTGGGGTGACTTGGCTTGCATGCTGACAGAGAGGGCTCTGGGTGGCACTTGTGCCATAGGTTCGTCATCACTGGGCTAGTGGAATAACAAAAAAGCATGGGGTGAGTATGAGTTCAAGACTGATAAAGTCATGTATAATTCTTTAAAATACGTTTTTTAACATAATACAAGCGGTTATTAAATAATATTAAAACACTTACATGAAAAACTAAAACAAAAATTCATAATAAAATAATTAGAGAACAACAGTGGTTAACATACTATCATTACCTTAAAAGAATCTTGTTTGTGACTTATACTTTGAGTTATGTATAATTCTTAAGTGAACAGGGCAATGAATAGGTAAGAGGTGAGAAAGATTATCATTCACTAAAACTATTTATAGAGTGCCTATTTATGTGCCAGTTGGTGGAAACAAAACAATGAATAAAACCAAGCAATGTCCTTTCCTCACTGGTACATACAGATGCTCTGGGGAGGCAGCTGTTAGTAAAACAGCCAAGCTTATAATGTGAAAGCAAACTAAAAACCTCTTCACGGGACAGGCACAAAGTCCCTTGCAAGTGAATGTAAACTGGACTGTAAGGCCAGAAAAGGCTTTCTCAAGTAGATACTCCTCCAGCTGAGGCTTGAGGATAGGTGGGTGTGTTGAAGATGTATTCAATGTGAGGTAAGGCTAGAGTGTATCAATCAGAAATTGTATTAGGCTGCTGATCACAAAGAAGACTGGTGTCATATAGCACTTGCCACACTTCCTATGCACACATGCAGAGCCTGGCTTCCTGGCCTTGTGGCGGTGGGGGATGCTTTGTTACCATGCATGTGTTGCCTTAAGTTGGTCGTGGTTCTCCCTGACTGTATTCTTGATTTTAAATTAAAGCTTTAGAGACACTTAATTCTTATCAATTCAACTTATTATATACAATAAAGTATACACAATTGCAGTTCAGTTGTGAATTATCCATACTCCCACCGTAAGATAAACATCATATTTCCCTCAAAGTAAACTGGGCCTTCTATTAATTTATGTTCAAAAACATACAATAGGGCTTATTTTCAGGGGATGTCTTATTTTCTCATGTACAACAATCTATATTTACTCAGAGTCATGTCATCTTCTTCTGAACATCATCATAACTCTCTTAACTCCAAATTTGGGCCTAAATTTCTTGTGACTCCAGTTCCTTTAGAACCATGGGCCCCAATCTCTTGTATCCCGCAACAGAGATTTATGTAAATAAGTACTTCTTGTCCATGTATATGTATATGTATATGTACATTGAAATTCTGGATATTGAATTCAGGGCCTCACACTTGCAAAGCATGCAGTCTATCATTGAGCTACATACACAGCCTTTGTACTGGAGGGAGAGATATCAAAAATTTTAGGTACTCTACATTTTAGGTACTCTACATGTACTTCTTTAAAGCTTTTTGCACTGATGTGGCAAATAAAATATAAATCTCACAATGTAGTGTATGGGATGTACTTCAGGTTCAAACAAATACTTTCATTTTTTCAATGATATTTGTAATAAACTTTCTATGTGTGAGTGTTATACTAAATACTACAGATAAAATGAATAGGCATGAAGTCTCAGCTTTTAAGGAGTTCACTGAAGGCTGACAGGGGAGCTGCACTTACCCAGCAAGGATGGTATTTGCTGTAATGGAAGCATTATTGAAATGCACACGTCAGGAGAGTGAGTGTTCAGCTCTACCAACCAAGGAAGGAGGTGAAGAAAAGGTTTATGGAGGAAGTAACATTGAGCTGAATCTTGACGATGAGGTGTTACTTTAAATATATAAAAGAGAGAGACTTTAGGAAAGAGATTTATGTGCAAAAATGAAAAACATCAAAATCCCAGAGGCATGAAATAGAATGGCAAGTTCTAGACCTGGAAGTGGTTCAAGGAGCTGAAGCATAAAGAGCAGAGAGGGGCTCACTGGGAGGTGAGGCTGGAGAGGGGAGCAGGCCAGCAAGGAGGTGGGAGCATGCACTGAGGGTCCTACACCCCCAGGTTGGAGTCACGGGTCTTTCGATGCCTCGCTGAAGCACATCAGTCACATGATGTAGCTTCAGCAGTATTGCTTCGAAGGTTGAGATAAGACAGGCCATACCTGACATAAAGTATGCACACAGTTGTTATTAGTTATTAATTTATTATTGTTCCTAGGCGTAGGGCAAAGGAAGTTGCTGGAGGCTCTTCCACAGAGGAGTAAACTAGTGAGCAACTTGTTTAGTGAGCAGTTACCCTGGTTACACGTGGGTAGAAAGCAGTACATTTTGGAGCATTTAAGGGTGTTACATCCAGTCAGATGATGGTGATAGTGGCCTGAATCATGGTGACAATCGCAGTGACCGTGGAGCAAAAGAGTTGCATGCTTCTTTGACTCCAATTTTGCCACAGAACTTGACCATTATGTGTGGACAAGTAAAGAGGTGACATCTGGATTCTGACCTGACATCTGTTGATTCTTCATACCAGCAATATAGGGATCAACAAAAGAAAGGTAGATAGATATTCACCAGCCCTTGGAATCAGGAGTCAG